GCTTTAACAGAGGTTAAATGTAAAAGCATACACTGTGCTGTGATTTTTTAATTTTTTTAGTTGGTTATAAGAAGCTAATAAATTAGTCCAGCCCAGAAGTGAAATAGTCTAAGTCTTTTTATTAAGTTATATATAGATGCCCAAATTATAATTAAAATTCATACCTTGAAGTGGCAATTGATAATGTATTTTTTGGTGGGAAACACTAATGCCTTTTTTTGCAAGAAAATAATCAATGCAGTTAAGTAAGCAATTTTCATACTCATTCCTTTTTCTACACATACCTTTTAACTCAACTGTGAGGTTATTTCTGATTATTGATATAACAGACTTTCCCAGAAAAGTATTGATACTTTCAAGCATAAGAATAAAATACTGTAAGAATCGACATTGACCAAATAATTCTTGGTCTTGAAGAAAAAGAATATTTTAAAATAAGAATAAATTCTCTCTTAATTTTCTGTATGTCCAGAGTGATCACCAACATTAATATATATATATATATATATATATATATATATGTATGTATGTATGTATGTATGTATGTATTCTTGCACATCAAAGTAAATTATAAAGTAAAACAGTTTGCAGGAGGTTCTTACAAGAAATATGAGAATAGTATCTTTCAATAAAATATTATTTTCTAGTGAGGTTGTAGAGGATCATTATTTTCATCAAGTATCAAGCTTAGTAGCTTCTTTAAAATGTTCTTTTATTTTAATCAGTATCCTAGATACTTGTAATGAAAAGAAGTGAAAAGAAGTAGCTTTGAATATATAGGTATGCTCTTGTCTCATGATGGACTGGCACAAACATGTGGCTTTCATAAAAATGTGCAGACATTTTAGTTTTACTCCTAAAATTTCCAACTGCTACATTCTTAAGATATCTATATAGCCCTAAGCGAAACTTAGCAAAGACCTATGTTGAACCATATATGAAGGAAGGAAAAGACATTCATTTGAACTCTTTGAGTTCTACCAAGTAGAAGTATGAGTTATTAATAATTATAAAATACTACTATTCTAATGATTTCATGTATAATGATCTATAAACACAACACAATTAACATGTTTGAATTATACTTAGTTACTTTTTCTCTCAAATCCACATAAGTAATAATTGTCTAGCTGACTGAGTTTTGTTCATAATGAAATTGAAAAAATATGCTCCTTTCTCCTGCATTAATTGAGACTATATACCACAGATTGAAATACTGGAACAACAGCTCTCCAATATCTGAAGCAGAACAAATTATAAAGTCTAAAATTCCCTCCCAAATAATTGCAAATATTTTCATAACATTTTAAAGTCTAGTGGGCCTCCCTGATGGCACAGTGGGTTAAATCTCAGCACTATCTTGCCATCTGCAGCATGAGTTCGAACCCTGGTCAGGGAGTTGACCCACATGGCATAGCAGACCTCTCCAGTCTCATTGGCTGCTCCCTCAGCAGTGTATTTTAGTGGATCTGTCTATTCTGTTCCCTACTCTGTTTCTGGTGAATCCTATCACCCTCCCACATCTTATACCCCAGATCTTGTATGCATACATAAATAAAAAGTAAAACAAAAACAAAAACTTTGTAAAGTCCAGAAATTTTTTTCCTTATCTCAATTGCATGTGAAAGCAAATCAGAAAAAAATTACATTGACATGGGAAATTACAACTAGGAAACTTTAGAGTGCTTGGGCACACATCACAATCACCATCAAACACCTCTGAATTACATAACAAAATGTGAACCAATGTTACATCATTCCAAATATATAGTTAAATGTAAAAAATAAATACATCTCCCTTTCAATGTAATTTCCTTCATCTCTGTGGGAGGCAAACATATCAATATGACACTTCATGATATATTATCGTGTTTATTTGTTCAGTTATTTGGCTCCTCTGGTTAGAATACTATATATTTCCATTTGCTATTTTCTAATGTATGTTCCTACCTAATGTTGAAGGTCCACTTGAAAAATCTGCTTCTAAAGAGTTGACAACAGTCAATCTCTAGGCACAAAATGTTTTACAAGTGTGGTAGTAAATTCCCTGATAGTATTGCATTTTGTTCTCACCAAAATTATCCAGGGCATTATGTTAAGTGTTTTTTTTTTTTTTCCTATGTAAAACACACTCTTTAATTAACTAAGAAAAAAATGATTAACAAATGACTAAAAAAGTCAGAGAGTTTAGTATCTTTCAATACTTGACCTACATAGAAGAAGACAAGGAGCTATCTAATGTGCACAAGTAGTGTAAAAAATGTTAGTATGTATTGATTTTTTCCTTAGTAAATAGACAGGAATTAAAAAAAAAAGTTTCCAGTAGCTAGATTGCTAATAACGGAAAAACACTAAATAGAATATCAATAAAAGACTTGATAGGTGAAGGAAAAAAGAGCAAAGAGAACTTCAGAACCCCAAAATACATGAAAAAACATAATCTACAATATATCAGTCAGAGTGATGTATTCAGTAATATCTGATACTAACTCCTAATGTCTAGTTTATTTATAGCATTTTTTTTACAAACAATATTGCCTGTTCCCAAAAGATACAGCATGACTTACAAAGATACAAAGTTATGATAATATGGTATTCTACATTAGATGCAGGAATAAAAGAAAATCTGTTAATAGTAATATTAAATGAACCTATTATTTAAACGGTCTGAAAAGGAAGCCAAGCTAAAAGGCTGTAGCCTTCTGTCAGGTAGATTTCAATTTCACTATTAGTTTCCTGGAGGCCAAATAAAAAAAAAAAAAGAAATCTTATCAATTTCATAATTTACAACATCCATGTTAAAAGCAAACCAATTTACTCAGGAGAAGTGCAATTATTCCTGCTACTAAAACCTGATAGAAATTTCTCCCAAGGGTTATCATAAAGTGAACACTATAAAATATAATGAAATATGCCTTTAACAATGTCTTTATGATAGACACCAATAAGAGTTTCATAGACTTGCTTTTTTATGGTACCCTTTACTATATCCTGATGGTCTGGCTATACTATTCTTCGTGTGGTTTAATGCGGGGATAGATTTTTGAATAACTGAGAAAATGGATAGATAATAAAGTTGCAAAGATTTTGAAAAAACCTTAATCTTACTGTAGGTTCTTAGATAAATATGATGAAAAAAATCTCAGAAGATTCAATTTGTTCAATCAGTAGTTATTGGGCATCTATAATTTATAGAGCACTGTATTAGGCACAGCAGAAATAGAGGATAAAACAAGTGTTGGGATATGTTATTTAGTATTGCCAATTAAATGTATCAGATGACCTAAAATTAAAAGTTGGCATTCTCTGGTAAAAGCTGAAGGCTCTTCAAGTCTTGGATTCAATTCAAGGACTATCATAATCACTACCTCTTTTCAAATACAAGTTTGAATCTGTTTGGACACCCTAATTACTGGGCACTTGTCAAATGCCCTAGTCTAAGTTAGCATAGTCACAATGATATTTGGGGGAGAGACCTAGTCTCATTCTGTTTCAGATTTTATTTAAAAATAAGTACCTTAACAACATTTCTCCACAGCAATGGCTTTAAAACTATGATCTGAGAAACCATTTTTAATTTTTCCTTGGAGTTGTCTCACAAGACATTGGGGCAACTAAAAAAAAAAAAAAAAAACAGATAGTACAACTGATCCCTCCCTTGAAAAACCATGTATATTAGCCTCAGAAGCCTCTGTTGCTAAAGTGTGGGTTTTATACAAGTAGTTTTTAAATATTTTCACACCGCTGTAGCTCTTTGTACTATTTTCATCATTTTATTTTCTCTACAAAGATTGATACAAAGTCAGTTAACATCTACTATTCATTGCTATATTCCAGGGTCTAGATATACAAGGCTAAATATCAAGTTCTTTGTCTCAAGGATCTTACTATTTGTAATAAGTGTGTTAAGCTACAGACTGGAAATGCTGCATCGACCATAAATCATAGTTATATATTGGTATAGATAGCTGAGGGGAAGCCGGGCTAAACAGGATTGAATGGAGAACTTGTGATATACAATTGGCAGCTTTAGCAATGAGTCACTCACACACACACACACACACACACACACACACAGATTTAGGAAAACACGATGGGTAAATGTCATTTTATACTATGGGATGAAGGAAAGTGTGTATGTCAAGAAGCATGATAAGCTAAAAATAATAATTGTGATTGAGACATACAAGGAAATGAAATATTCGAATATGGGAGAGGTCTGATCATACAGTACCAGCTGAACCAAGCGATTTGAACTAAAAGACAAGGGCAGAACAAACTAAACACAAAGAGTAATGCCATAAATACATTTGTGTTTTTGAAATATCATTCCAGCATTATTATAGGGGATGCAAAAGATAATCTAAGAATAGAATCAGGCATAGTAATTAGGAGGTTATAGCAGCAATCAGGAAGAAAATAATCGGGATTCTGAATTAAGCCAAAAATTGTCATGAGAGGAGGGAGGTATGAGAGATAATAAAAGGGTAGATCAACTGGGATTTTGTGACTTTGACTTGTTTTTTTTTTTTTTTTTTTTTTTTTTTTTTTTGCTTCTGTATAAGCAATCTTTTAGTTTGTGTCTTTTAATGTTACTTCTTTCTGTATAATTTTATTCCTGCTTCCTGATTCATGTATATATGGATGCATTTTAATTTTTTTTGAAATACTACCCTTTTCATATTCACCAAATCTTACATAGCAGGCCACTTGAAACATGAACATTTAATCACTTAGTACATTCTGCCTGCATAACAAAGCTCACCATTATAATCCTCCAGTTATTACAAGATCTGTGCTGTCTCAGATACATTTACACTTCAATTACAATTACAATGCTTTCATCTTAACAGCTTCTAGTTTCTGAAGGATTAAGTCTCAAGGATTATGTTATAATGAGAATAAAGGTTATTGACTACGCTTCTCATTTCTTTCTGAGATGCTTTGCTAACTAAATAAAAGTGAAACCGAATTTATGCCAAGATGTTTTCTCCCTGCAGGAAAACATAATGGAAGTTATGAGAAATCAAGAGTTTTTACTGCTTCCAGCAGAGGAACTCCATAAACTCCTGGCCAGTGATGATGTAAATGTTCCTGATGAAGAAACCATCTTCCATGCATTAATGATGTGGGTCAAGTATGACATTCAGAGGAGATGCAATGACTTGAGCATGCTTCTTGCCTTTATAAGACTACCACTGCTTCCTCCACAGGTAACTGCCCATGACACTATTTTAAGTGCTATGAAATGCCAAGAATACATAATAAAAACAACATCATAAAACACTGTGATTATTTACTCACCTTTTGTTTTTATTGCAATCTTTCTAAGGTAAGTATTTTCGGTGAGGTAAATTTGATGGCGGAAAAATTACGGCGTTGGATTATGGGTCTGCACCCAAACTCTGTCACTTACTGATTCATAGTTATTTGACTTTGAGAATATTGCCTAAATCTCCTGATGTTCAGATTCCTCACGTTGACAATAAACTTGTACACTACCACGCAAAGGTTTTGTGAGGAGCAGTTTAGATAATACATATGAAGCACTGAAACTCATGCAGTAACTGGAATATTTTTAAAGTGTTACCATAATTACTTCTCTACTTTCCTGTGTTACAGATACATGAATCCACATATAAATGTTCATCCGATATTTGTTTTCTCCAGGTTTACATTACTTAGCATAATCCCCTGTAGTCCCAACCATGTTGTTGCAAATGGTGAGAGTTTATCTTTTTTTTATAGCTGAGTATTATTTCATATACATATACACACATAGTAAGTGATGTATATATCACATATCACATCTAATCTACTCAATTGTCATTGGGCACTTCAGCTTTTATTATAATAATGTTGCAATAAATATCAGGTGTGTTCTTCTACTTAGTGGTTTTCACTCTTCAGGTAGATACCTAGGAAGGAGATGGTGTATGTTACAGTTGATGTACTTTTAATATTTTGAGAAACCTCTGCACTGTTTACCATAGGAGCAGGGCCAGTCTCAAACCTGTCAATAGTATACAAGGGTTCCATTTTTCCAATCTTCAATAAAATGTTTTTTTCTGGATTTTTTTTTGGGCCATTTTCATGGGTGGAATCCTTAGGATTTCTGATATAAATTATCATGTCATTTGCAAAAATTTATAGTTTTGCTAATTCTTTCCCAATTTGAACTCCCTTTATATTTTTTTCTATTCCCTGATCACTCTAGCTGAGACTTCCAATATTACTTTGAATAGTAGTATTGAAAGTGGACCTCCTTGTCTTATACATGATTTTCAAGGAAATACTTTGTTTTTCAACACTGACTATGATTAGCTGTGAGTTTGATATATATATATATATATATCTTTTTATTCTTATATATATATATATATATATCTTTTATTATTCTTACATCTGTTCTTACTACTTCCAAGTTGCGGTATTTTATCATGGGTGGATGTTGAACCTTAAATAAATGTTTTATGCATGTGTTAATTTCATATATTTTATCTTCTATTTTGTCGCTTTGGTGAATGACAATACATTTTTTGAATGCTGGGTCAACCTTGTGTCTCTTGAATAAATCTTAATTGGTTATGATGAAGTGATAGTAGAAAAAAAAACAAAGAAGACTTAGAAATTTCTATGACTAATTAGTAAATTAATTAAAACTTCAAGATAAATCCAAACTAAATAATCTGTAAGCATTGTACAGCTCTCAGTATTTATACTTCTATTTAGTGGCTGCATAGAAAAAAAAAATCTTGAAAAAAGTAAAATGAAAGACTTCTTCAACAAAGAAAACAAGAAAAATCATTAGTTCCAAAGAATAAATTTAGATTACAATGATAGGCTTTTCTTATAGTTATGAAATATCTGACCAAAGACTTAGAACTTGAGCACAATCATTTCTCATAATCATTATTCTAATGATTCTTCATTACTAAGTCCACTGTGTCTCTATTTATTTTTATGTTCACAAGATAACATATTTTGATAGTCATTATTCTCTATAAGTTAACATATGATAGTATAAAATAAAAACTATAGTTATTTGATATAGAATTTATAATGAAAGTGTTATAGCAAATATGGATTTTAATTGAAGAGTGGTAGACAAAATGAGCTTCAGAAAAGATTAGTAAAAAAAAGAAAAAAGACAAAAAGACTCAGAAGCACCAGCATTAATGTTATCCTCTTCTGAAGTCCTCTGTCACTGAAATACATGCAATTGACTTTGCTATAGAAAGGATTAGAGGAAAGAGCAAAATGAATGAAATATATAATTGAGTTACAGTTTAAGAATCAGTGAAGGTCTTCTATTATCTTTTTAAATAAGTGAGAGATAGAGTTTGCATAATAGTTTCCATATATTAGATTTTTCTATATTTCCTCTTTAAAAGATTCAACAGAAGAAAATGTCGCTATATTGTTTTAGCATTTGTAACTAACATTTCCATTTGCTTAAACTGGTTTCCTAATATTTATCATTGAAGTGTGTACACAGGTTATTTATTATATATGCATATTCTTGGTGTGTTCTTCTCTACTTAGCACCTACTCTAAAAACCAAGAAAATATGTTTTGTATATGACAAATTATGCCAAAGGACTTCAGAAAAAATTATTCTTATCACAGAGTTTATTTAGGAGGTTAGAGATCATCTTGCTTCATTTTCTTGGAAATGATAATATTTATCTTCAGATGACTGAACTACAACTTTCTAAGCATGATACGCATGCCTCTTAAGTGAGTATGTGATAAAGTGTATTGGTCTGTGTATGCGTGTGTATGAACATTTAATTTTATTTACTTAAGCACAATGTGGGGAGAAAAGTTTGCAGTAAATAAACAAAGATTACCTATTTTAAAAACATATATGGTTTAATCTAATAATAATCATATCAAAATAACCAGTACAGTCAAGAATTTAAATTTAGGAAACAGAACCCTCTATTTTAAACTCATTATTTCCATGAAATGCTGTAATAAGTTTATTCTAAAATATTGTGTACAGTGGTAATATCAATATGAGTAAGGAAAGTCTTCAAACTCTTACTCCACTGAAAATACAGAAATTGATGAGACCAGTGACATAAGTGATAATTATCTGTAAAAATTATAACCTCTAAATTATAGCCTTTAAAATCTAATGAAAAAACAGGCAAGGTGACAATGAGGAAATCAATATAAAAATGTATAAATCACAATGTAAGATATGTAGGGTAGATTAAAATCATGAGTAATTTATGTTTTGTTTGATTTTAGTTCCCTAAAGTAAACTATTTCTGATCAATCCAACAATTCTGAAAGTATATCACCATAAATACTTACTGCATATTATCTAGTTTATCACTATAAAAAATTCTGACAAATTAACAAAACAAAAATAATTAACCTAATACATTAACAAAATCCATTACCAGTCTTTGTTACCTCTTCAACAGGTTTGTTGTTTATCACATTGATTTGCTTGCCTTAGGATTAATTAATTATACTATATTATCATCAAAGAGATAGTCTTCACAAAAACTAATAGCATTTTTTAAAAATTGTGAGATCTTACTCCTTCCTAAAAATTTTAATAACCTTACATTAATGTCTTTAAAATAGAAATGTACAAATGCTTGCTTCTAAAATCTTAGATTTATCTCCAATATGATCATTTAACTCACCCAGATACTCATAGTTCAAGTTACAGCATAAGAAAATACAAAAGTTTTTATATTAGCAAATTTTGAAACTAAGCAGTATTGATGTTACAAAAGATATGTACACACATAACACACATAACATATATAACACATATGTGCTGCACACATACTACACGTATTTATACACTGTACATATAATATGTGGTACATATATGATATGCTGCATATACATACTACATGTATATGTATATACTATAAATGCTGTGTGTATGTATATGTATGCTGTGTGTATGTGTATATCTGTGTGACTTATATATGTGTGTGGGTGTGTGCGTGTATGACTTATTCATGTGAATCAGTCTTTAGTTTTAATCTTCATACTATTTTATATTTAGGCTACACCAATTTACATTCTCACCAACAGTGGTAGAGAGAGAGAAAGAGAGAATGTGTGCATCTATGTATGCTATTCTCTTTCGAAAATTAAGAGAGTAGAAGAGAAATTATAACCTAATCTCAACAGCTTTATTTTACGGCTTTATTTTTGCTACAATCTATCAAGTATCTCAACTTCTGTAAAGGTCTGACCCTACTGCTGTGTCTCAACTTCTCTGAAAGTGGATTTTTTTTTTATTGCTACAACCCCTTTTATATTTGATATTACCACTTTTATCCTATTTAGATCATTACAAAGGTGTGTTACTTCAAATGCAGTACAGCCAAACAACAGTTTTCATAGTCCCTTCTAGCAACTGCTCCAAAAAGCTGTTATCATTTCCAGAAAAAATTAGGCTGAGAGAAATGACAGGGAGTCAATGTCCAAGTAAGACTTCCAGTGTCAGGAAGAGGCTTTGGCTATGTGTCATTCCTCCACTTCTGTGTAGGAGTTCTAGGATCATGCTACTCCTACAGACGGGAACCCACAAGTTGCCCATTCTCCACCTTCACACCACCATCAATGGCTGGCACTGGCACTGTGGTATTTTCAGTTCAACCCTCTTTTCCCTAACTTCACCAACACATGGGCTTTTTTGTCACACAGTCAATAATGCAGTTGTTTGGGTAACTATGCATGCTCCTGTGATAAGTTGATGCAAGATATATGAGATGCTTAGTTTCTTTCTGGGTGTATTTAAGAATCTATTTTTCTGACGTGTTTTACTTCATCGTAGTAAGTGTGCTGTAGATTTATTCTTAAAATACATATTTATCAAAATATCTTATACCTATGTGCTAAATTTACAAACTAGATACAGGAAAAAAAACTGTTTCATTTTCATTGCTAGAATAATAAATCAGAAAATACATTTCTTTTCTATGAAAAAAAGAAAGCTGAAATTATATATTAATTTAGTTCACAAGCAATTTTGCACATATTAAATAATGTACATAGAATTTACCAAGAGGCCACATAGTTCAAGAACAATTATTTTTCTCAATTAAACTTTAACGAGAATTTCATTTTTTATTCATGCCTATTTTATATGAGAATAATAAAATTAATGTAAGATATAATAATTTACAAGAGGAACAAGAAGAATTGTGAAACATTTGCAATAAAGCAAAAG